CAGTGAATTTGGGCCAGAGTGCTGCCCAAAGTGGGAATAAGTTACCACAGGCTAAGTAGTGCCCTGCTGGTGTTTGGGGATCATGGAATAATGGTGCTGTGCAGAGTGAGCCCAGATGTTCCTGGGAAACCTTCCTGAGCAGATCCAAGCTGAGGGTTTGGCTTGAAAGCCCAGCTGGGGAGCGGGTGCATTCAAGGGATTATTGCAGCTGAAAATTTTTTCAGTCAACCCAAACCTTTAAATTCCCTTGTTATCCCCCACATTAATTTTAAATGGAGTTTTCGGAATAAAAAAATGTCACTTACTTGGTTCAACTGTGAGAGTCGTCCCTGGTCCAAATACAAGCTTATTAATCCACACACTGCTGAGGCTTATTCCAATAACTGATTCTTTCCTCATGGTGTTCAAAAATGTTGTAAAAGCAGGTGGTGAAAAGCCATTCCTTCTAATTATCCCTGGCTGGAAGTCCATGGGAGGATCCAGAGGTAGATTTACTTGCAAAACTGGAAACGGAATAAAGGTTAATTGACGTGTTCAGTGATTTCAAAAAGCTTGATTGAGTATAGAACTTTCAACTTCCCCCTTTCTTCCACCTTTTAGAACCTTCATGAGCTCTTTTATGTATCCAGGATACAAGGAAATATAGGAAGAATATTGTTCTTCTCTTCTTAATCATTAGAGTCACTCATCTCCTTTCTTTCCCAACATTTGTCACCTTCTTTCCCTCTTCTTGTTTTTGTACAGGTCCCTATGCTGTTTATATCATTGTGGTAAGCCCAGCCCAGTCCACAGTGATATATTTCGTAACAAAAACTGTCTCTCTTCCACTACACAGAATATTGGATTATACTAGCAGTCACATGACATCTTCAGTGGTTTGAGACTAAACGCACCACATAAAGAAACATTGCACGGCTTCCAAGGAAGGATCTCAAATAATATCAGAGAGGTTGAGTTGTAACTGAGAACGTGGGTATTATGTGACACCTATGAAAGGTCTGATGGAGTTTAGGTGGATAGAAAGCAGAAAAACAATGAGTACCTCTGGTGTTCTTTCAGAGCATTTCTTACAATGCAGTCTAATCCCCCTAGTACTCTCGTTGTAGATGCTAGTGGTAGTG